CACCAATTTACCAGCTCGCGCGTGTAATGTGCAGCTACCTACCCCCTCTCAACTCATCGGTGAACGAAACTGCGGCGGGTACAACCAGTGTACGACGAGTACGCGCTTCTTACAGGTGACGATGATGATGATGATTGAGCTGTACCAGGCTACCTCATATTTCACTTGGCGAGATATTCGAAATATCGCGATGTATGTAAAGGCGTATTGCACCACTCATGAGATCGCTGAAGACTCTTCGACAGTCCAAGACCGGTTTCGAATTTCTCGGGTCTTCAGGTAGGCGCAGTCCCCGAGTTTCCGTCGGCTGTATGTTCCACTTGAACCCAAATTACACATGCACTCATTTGCATACCGTCTTGGTTTTGACGGGAGACTCATGTGGAACCCCAGCTGAGTCTCTCGTCTATGGTGTTTTGTAAGCATATACCTGATGAGCCCCAGGAAAGGCAAAATCGGTCGTGGGCTGTCGGAGAGTTTTCAGCAACCTTGTGAGTAGTGTGTTAACTGCGTTTCTGCATGTGCCTCACCTTGGAAAATGTAGAATTTGAAGTGCATATGTATTCTGACAAGCCGACCAGTTTGGTTGCACATAGTAGGCCGTTCGTGGGGATCCATTCAGAGGCCCATCAGCAGCGCAAAGTAGACTAGCATGCCCCCATGACATCCAGAGTGCAAACTTTGAGTAAGCTGAACCACCTTGAACCGATTTTGCATGCGTTATTGCTGTAGGGTCTAATATACGTGGTCTGGAGACGCGGCACTCACATGTCAGTTCCCGATTTATCTTACGTTGTGGTGCTTAAACTAAATCAAATGCATGTATCTTCTCAGTTCAGGGGCTGATGCCGGGTTAAATCGGAAGTTCCTGTCAAGCCCGTCCGATCGGTTGAATAGTTTTGTGGTATGCACAGGTACTATGTGGACAACTATAATCACAAATGAGTTTATTCTTGGTCCCGTTTCCCATTATGTGGTTTCTAAGGGGGATTCAGCAGTTAAAAAATCGTTCGGTGATCTATCCCCAAATACTGTATTTGTAGCAGAATGCGTTAGAATTAAAATATAATAGTTTTCATCCCCTAAGCTTACGTTATTAACAATTAAGTATACCGCGACATGCCTAGTGAACTTTGTTTGTCCCCCTCTTTATCAGCCCCATTTGACTTGTGGAAGGCGGATCATCAGTACATCACATTCACCTAATGTAGCTTGTTTTTTAAAACAGTTTTCTGTTATGTTGTTATATTTTACTTAGTGTCGCTAAACTTTTTCCTTGCATCAGGTTATTTTCTGTTTTGCAGGTAATTCTAATCGATACACTAGTCATACTGAAACGTGGTATCGTCTTGATCTCTCATCAAAATGAATCCAATCACCAACACGAAAAACCAGAATCTCATGAATATGCGAGAGCTCAGCCTTGGGTATACAGGAACCGTGAGCTCTTGGCACCGACAGTACAAGGACTCTGCCTGGATTTTTATTGGTGGTCTGAACTTCGAACTGACGGAAGGTGATATCATTTGTGTATTTTCTCAGTATGGCGAGGTGGTGAATATCAACTTGGTGCGTGATAAAAAGACCGGTGTGTCCAAGGGTTTCGCCTTTCTGTGTTACGAAGATCAACGCAGCACTGTTTTGGCAACAGACAACCTCAATGGAATCAAACTTGCCGGCCGCATCATTCGTGTTGATCATGTGGAGAAGTACAAGGTGCCTACAGATGGAACTGTGGATGTGGGAACGGGGAAGAAAAAACGGAGAATTGAAAGCGAAAACGACAAGGATGCCGTGAGTGCATTTGTTCGTGAGCATGGTTGTGGTCCGGAGGTTATGAAACACCTGAAAAAGCTTGAGGCTGAAGCCCACAAGAGATCACATAACGGCTGCCGTGACAAGCGTCATTCAGACAATCATCGAAATCTCAATGATGACAACGGTTCCAGGTATTCCAGGAACGCACGCAATCCTAGTCCATCGCCCACACGAACATTGGCTTCCTCTGACTCTCAAAGATACAAAACTGATGGGTTGAGCAGCTTTTCTCGAACCAAAAAAGAATCCTCTCTGTCACCCCCACGTAAGCGAAGTTCTTTGTCGCCACCGCGCAAAGAGAGTTCATCTGTGTCACCCGCACGCAAACGAAACCACTCGCGACCATCACCATCGCGTAGGAGAACGCACTGTTCCCCGTCGACTCGCCGAATAAAACAAGAATCTCCTGAACCTTATTACCGAGTCAGGGAATCGTCCAACAGCCGTGCAACTGATCTCAGACGTAATCGCCAACACAACTCCAAGCACTGACTGGTTTTCGCGTTCCTAACTTCCTGTGTACAAGCCCCCCTCCTTTGAAAAAGATAAAACCTTGTTTTTTTTACCGGGCGTGATGATTTAATGCGCAGCAGCTTATGGAAGGCCACTGTCGAGTTCGGCTGCTTGTAAGGCTGTGGCAACATGGAGCCAATAAATCATTCTTTGGGACGACATAGATATACGTGACTGATTCCTGTGTTCCGATCAGCCAGCCGTCAAGCTGATTACTTCTCCGATGGCAACTACTGTGACCAGAAATTAGAGAAAGCTTTTGGAGAGCTCACCGTACACTCCGCACGCCAACAAGTATGTGATTACAAATAACGCACGGTATTCACGAATTTCTGAGCATGCTCGGTTGCACAAGTGTTTCGGAAAGACCGAACGGTCGGCTGAATTGAACACACTCTTGAAATTGAAAAACACCTAGATTTAAGGGCGCTTACATGCAAACCGTGACTCTAACACTTGACGGCCCATGAATATGTGATCCATACAGCCTGAATTCTGCTTGTTGTTCTCCGGTTCCGCCCTGACGCGCCCTCGTAAAGCGTAAAACAAGCGCCTTCAAGAGTTCTGTTGCAACGGGCACTCTAATCGACTCATTCCAGTTGGTTGGGATGATTTCTCTCGCTCAGATGAAGGCAAATAAATTAGGAAAGATCCAACTGATGATTCCACCTCCATCTTTAAACGTAACCGGTGGGATTTTGTTAGGACACGCATCCGGGTAACGCCTGGAGGAAACCTGGCGTTCGCTTGTTTCTGATGCCCTCTGGGGGTTCCAATTTCACTGTCCAAGGCTCCGTTGTGGGTCCGTAATTCGGCTGAGCAACTGCTAGTTGAGCTGTCAAGTGTTCTAACCAATTATTCAGGTTTTTAGTTAAGAAGGTTCTTTTCAGTGTGGTTGTCGCCCCCCCCCCCGAGGCAACTTTGGGTCTGTTTTTTCTGGGTTTCTCCCCTCCTCCATTTTCTCAGCTTCCTGGACCTACCAAGTTTCCCGATCCCGCAGATGCCATTTTTCACCTGTCTAACAGCTCGAGTTGTACTATGCTCTCGACTGGGACACGTTCCCGAGCTTCGCGCAATTTAAGAGTATGGCTCGAGATCCGGTGCTTAGATTTAGTTAATGTCGCCATTCCGCGAGCAGAGCGCCCCGAATCCTGTAGGGTCGCCGACGGTGACAGCATCATAAGACGTTCATTGTTCTACTTGGTCGTGGGTCCCAGTTTAGCCCCCAGGCCTGGACAGGTCGATTAGGATCCTCAACAAAAAAGCCTAACCGCAAGGCAGCATTGGTTGGCTTAATGCCACCAGGACAGACAACTTTATTAGGGAGCGATTCACCGTGCATTTTTAGCCTTCAAACTGAAGGACCAATAGTCTATTAGTCAGTCCTCCAAGCACTAACTATCCTGGTGTGAGACTCTATGAGTGTGGTCAGTATATTTTACTGAGCTGTGGAGGTTCACAAACTGTCACACTGTGTTGAAGTCCAGTCTCTTTGTGACGGGTCACAGTGAATAGTCTCGACTGACAGCTGCCTTAAGGTCACTCAGGAGGATCTTGTTGTTTTTCGAAGCTGATTTAAGCACAGCGTCAATTTCTTTCCGGTCGTCTGTTGAGAACAGCGTTGGAGTGTATGCATTATTGAGTCACGTGGGTGGATTGCACGGGGTTTTGAGTGAAACATTTTTCTAGTGCGGTCAAACAGAGCAAAGCCGACACGATGACCTGTTTTTGTCCTGCTGGAAAAAGGGTGAAAGGTGTATCGACAACTAGCTCGAAGAATCCTCTGGTTGTCTAGCCATATTACTTTGAAGCCTGTAACATCGATCCGTATCTCCAGTTATATTGCAAGCAAGTCGGTCCGCCTTGCTGGGACGGTCGATCTAGCTGTTAGCTCGATCCAGTAGTGTTCTCTAAGCTCGGCGAATAACCGTCTGATTAATTGCCCCATGCGGTAGTTGTTTTATCACTTCTAAACCTTGAGGAGAGGATGTGACTGCCTGGCCTGGCCTAGGGCCCACCAGTCTCACCAGTAAACCAGCCCGTGTACAACCACGAATCTCACATCTTAAAACACGTTACATCGGATGTCGCATGGTGCCGTCAGCCAGATCGCCTTACATTCTGGTGTACAATAAAATGGGTGAGCGAGAACATGCTAATACTGACACCCCCTACCTCACCTTAATGTGCATCCTCTCTCTCTGCAGGTTCCAGCATTAGAAATAACTGACTTGTTCACTTTGCATCACGCCCAGCTCTATCTTCCGCGCGTCCGCCTCTAGTAACAACCCGAAACACCTCGAAATCATCATATCATCAAACAGCGATATCATTGTTGGCACCAGTGCTTAACTGCCGTACAACTACGGAGTTTATCTAGATTATCTAGTTACATTCAAAGCCGTAGGATGAAAATAGAGACCGTGTTTCAACGTGCGTAGAATATGACGGGGCCAGCGCGATTGATGGTGATGGATTTTTTCCCCACAATTGAGGCACCTGTTTTACAACTAAACATCCGTTGGCGCCCTTCGACATCAGTAATGCTCTGAGGCTTCGATGGTTAAAAACCTAAAAGCACCTCACATCATCTGTACACAGAGGTCATGTTTCTCAACCATGCAACAACAATTCCCACACTGTAGCCTGACCCTTATGGGTCCACTAGGCTTCTTGTGCTGCATGGACACTCAGTTTGACCTGGTGTCGGATGATGCGTCTGGTTGAGTCGTGGGTACGGTCAGGAGGAATGTTGCCGTTCCCCCAAGGGAGTGATGGTCCTATCAGAGATCCAATGTTTGGATGAGGTTGCTGAGTTGTACCGCAGACGGAAGTTTCGGCTCCGAGTAGCACTGGATATCTCTTCAACATTGGACCGTCCGGCAGACGTTCGAGAGGCTGATTCTGAAGGTTTTGCTGGATTTCTGGATCCATTAGCTTTCCAAGATGTGCGCGTTTTGTGCAGACCTGAAAAGCAGCAGCTCATAAGCGCATAGTCCACACCGGCATTCCAGAAGTAACCGCAGGTAGTGGTTGACCAGCACCACCAGCAACTGACGGCGACTTGGTCTATTTGGGGATTCGGGACTGGTTCGTTAGTGGGCACCACGTTTTCAGGCGGTTTCCGCTGTTCCGGAAGTTGGTACGGCAAAGGAACAGTCCGTGATCGGCACACATCTGAAGTAGACGATCTCTGTTGTTCGTGCGTCTTTTATCCAGGCCAAAACCCAATCAGGTCTGAGCGGCGTGTTCATGCCACCGGCAATCATAACGATGTCTGAGCTTCTAGCCAATTGTAAAAGCAGAGTCTCAGAGACTGTCTGGCAGGCTCAGTTGCAGTCCGTTGGGGCGTAAGCAGACACAATAAACAGGGAACAACGGACCTCACTTTCTTGAGATTCTTTCACACGTTGCCAGACGAATTGCACAGAGGTGACAATCAACAGCTACCAAATAATAAGGATGATGGCTCTCGGTCGCTCAATACACTACCCACCCGGACATTTCCAGCTGCAGCGGCCTCTGCTTAACCGAAGTTGCGCGAAGAGAGCAAGGGGCAGTCAACTCACTTAAAATAGTTGCGACCTGTATTCTTCTGACAGAGCACACATCACTGCAGAGAGGATCTATCGTACGAGCAAGAGCCTCTTGTTCTGCTTGCTCCAGTGTGCAAATGTAGATGGCTAGGAAAACCGGCTCTCGAGTTTTGAAAATAGCATTCGAAGTGTTTAGGGCTGTTACTGAATTCGGACGTACAGAACCCACAACTGCGTGTGATGCACGGCGAACAGAGCGGCCAGTCCTGATGCTGGTACCCTGGCGAAATCATATTCAAATTGCGAGGGGTAGATGACGTAGAAGAGAGAATATGTGAAAGTGTGAGAGTGGGTGCGTCAGCAGTAAAATGTTTTCGCCTAACCGCCCTGTTGTATACAGCAGGTAAGGCGATTCGGTTGGTGACCTCATTCGACGGCCGATGTGGTATGAGGGTATTGTTGTCATTGTCATGGTTGTACGTGGGCTGGAATACTGCCAGGGCGTCCAGACCTAGATAGTAGGACGGTTAGGGTCGTCGACCAAGGCTTTTGGCTCAAAAGCCCGACAGCAAGACAACGGTTTTTGGCGATAATTGCAAGTGCATTACCACTTTTATAAAACACGCATGCTCCGACCCACAACCAGGAGACCGTGTTGACCAGACCTCTAACCATAGATCAACCTGGTACGAGAGTTTTTGTGGGTGTCGCACCGGCACCACCCAGTGTAGCTCAATGCTTTATGGAGAGCTTTCGTACAGAATGGCTTCCAGCAAGGTCTTGCCTTTTCTGTTAAACTTTGTCGTCGATGTGGGCAAACACTGGAGGGTCTTCCAAACCCTGATGTCCAGATCGCTTTTGTTCCTGTCGATCTGAAATACGCATGCGCCAACACGCTAATTTTTGAAGGCGACGACAAAACATAAACACTATTCAGTGAACTCACCATCATAATACCACCTTGCGGTATGCGCCGGGCACTTAACAAGTTCCTATTCACAACGTGAAGCCTCCTTTCAATCAAAAGAGTGGTGGTGATATCCACATCGTATTCGGCACGAATGAGGTCGGATAGATTGTGACGTATGTAACTGCTGTTAGCGTTTTACTTTTTCCCACCACTAATCAACCTAAACAGAAGCGTTGGCGAGTGTGGAGAGTTCAGCACACACCTCGGCATTGTCCGGTAAATGTAACGCCCAAATTTCGAGGGTCCGAATCATGTTAGCCAATTTGCGTCAAACAGGCATATCGATGAATATCAAGGGTAGCGTATACCAGGCTATGGTAAGAGCTGTGTTTTATGGTTGCGAGACATGGCCTTGGCGTCCTGAGTTTATACTCGGAACCGTTGCTAGTGTCCAATGACATGGACGAGGTAATTAGAAAACGGGTACCTGGTTGCGCAACGAGTAATGCATTGGAGGAAGACATCCGGTACCATCATCTACGGTGGCTCAGCCATGTGCTACACATGTCGCAACATCGTCTGTCGAGACTAGCGCTGTTCTCCCTGCCTGTATCATAATCGCGCAACCTGAGGTGGACAACGTGTGACTTAGAAGAAAGATATGATTGCGATTATGAAGAGTTTAAATGCTGTTGGTGTGGCCAGCCTTCTGGGATGAAGTCTCCGTGACCCCCTGAATTTGGCTGGAGACATTAATAAATGGCGGTTAATCGTTATCAGTGACATACATGCTGTCAGCTTTCCGAATTATCTGGTTGGGTACTTGGAGGTTGAACCTCTTTGAATGATTGGAGTAAACTAGCACTGAGTTTTCCCTCACCCGCTCTTGTTTTTTCTCACTTCAAACCTCTAAATATAATAACAGAAACTTTGTGGCTGTACGTTTGTCAGTGTGTAGACAGATTTTGACAGTGATTACCTAATACAATGGCACATCTTGTAGGACGTGGTGTGATACAAATGAAATGAGGCAAGATGGGTAAAGCACTCGGGCAGCAACTCAAACGACAGCGAAGGACAGTCGACCACCGATGGCCCTCAACATCCAATTACAGCAAAACACATTGGCACCTTGTGAATCGCAGGTTCTGTTATTGTACACTGACAATATATAAACGTAAGCAAAAGACACTCTGACAAGGCACAAACAAGTGGGGAGTCGGTAGGTGTTTCATAAAAGGGAATTAAGCACTGAACATCGAATCATAGGACTGGATATACTGGACTATTCAAAGGCACCATTCAGTTTGGGTCATTGGCTGCCCAGATAATTTTTCAACTGAAGGAGCATCTGCCGCAACAGTTGGATTTCGTCTTGGTTTGGTCGCTGTTTGTCCGAGCTGCTGCCTAGCTGGAAGGGATTCATGACCGGCGAACCACGTATTGATGTGAGAGTATCCTGAGGGCAGTATAAGAGAAGAGACCGAATAGGAAAGAAAAAGTTGATCTCGTCGGTTAGGGACAGAAAGTAAGGCAGAGCCAAAAAGGTCATAATGTGCTGCGAATACCCTAATCATAAAACCTCCTCAGGTTTTTGTCAGCCGACTTGAGCATTCATATCAGATTCCACGATCATAACTTCTGGTGTGTTGGCTGACAGAAACCATCGTTATCAGCTTCGGGACTGCCGACCGTCTGGAATACACTGTCCTCCAGAAGACAAACATAGTTTATTGTACCTAGTTAATCTATGAAGGCTAATTACTGTTTATTTTTTGGTAGGGGGTGGTTGAGGGATCTGGAGGATGGACGCTCACATCACTCTCGTTTCAACAGTCGTCCTCTTGTCCTGGCGAAATCATTCTGGTGAGTCCACACCAAAGGGGGAAAGCACTGGACTCGGGTTTCGCTCTTATTAGAGTTCACAGAGTGCATATTCCTGGCCGCTCTGGAGTAAAAACCCCGCATATCCGACAAGCGAGGCGAGCATGCTGCCACTATTCCACCACCACACGCTAGACGCATATGAATTATCACGTCTGAACGGGCGAACATGTTCGCTCTTGAACGATATGAGTGGTAAGCCTGGCGTCTCGAATAGCGACTTCTGTTGTGTCAATCGATTGGCCCGCCTGTCAGGACTTCCCATCATGTAGCGCCACGGACGCTTGAAACCATCTATGCATTTTTATTTTTCAGTTAGCGGATTTGTAGAATGCACGCTCACACACTACTTGTCAGAATGCCGTCCATGAGAATCCTCCACAACTGCGACTGCACACAAATTAAATCCCAGAAATCAAGAAGGCGTGAAAAGTCTGAAAACGGCTTACGTATGGCTAATTTTGGTTTGTTCGAAAGAAGACATACGTGAATAGAATACGAAAGACTCAGCAAGACGTATCTGTTGTCCAAATCGGAAAACAGTACGGAAGCATTGAAATTACCGGACCATTGTTTATTAAGCATCGGGTTAAAGTTTGGGCACTGGTCAGAGAACAAAGCTGGCTGACACACACACACAAATACAAGATTGAAAGGTGGAGAGAGAAGAGGAGCACCAACAGTACCAAGGCTTCAATCACATCTGTGTATCTCTCCAAAAACAGGCGCTGCGCTAGTTTGAGTTGGGTACAAAAACACCACGATTCTTTGTAGAGCTAAAATCAAAGTTTGTATATGGTTCCAACCTGGCCTGTTTACCATGTTTGGTCTTTCGCGCGAAAGGGGCGAGATGGCTCAAGCGATTAGAGCACCAATTTACTGACCGGAAGGTCCGTGGTTCGAACTCGACCTCTGCCTCCCGACTTCCCCTGTCTACGCTTGGGCAATTTGGCAGTATCCCAGCCCTAGTGTTTCCTTCGGGTAGCATGGCAGCTAGGAAGCGGAAGGGTGTTAAAACTGAACGGTTTTTTCTATTTTTTTCGCGAGAACGAGAGGTTGTCATCAGTATGGTTGGTGCATAACAAGGCTTGGGTTTGTGAATGGGCTGGATAAGAAGCAGACCTACACGATGTGGAAATAAGAAGCAGAAACCAAAGCAAGACAACCACAAACTCGAGTATGCGGAATAATAACGTTGTATACCTGGGGTTTGATTGGTCGCCTTGGTAGGCGCGTTCCGCCCACCCGCCTGGAACGAGTTGTGCGAGCAGCACTAGGCACGACAAACCCATTGACTTCCGGGTTGATAGGTGTAGAGGAAACTGCCGGGGTTCTCTCCAGTCGTTGATTTCTAGTAGCCTGCAAAGAAAATAGGTCAAACTGTAATCACTCACAGGCGTATAGGCACAGTTAACCCACCAATGACAAAAAACTCACCCTTTTGGTTGTAGTGGTCTGGGTTGTCGTTTGGACTGGGGACCGGCCCTGCTGTATGGAAGGTAGTGCAGTCATTATAGGCTCTTCATCTAAGGCTAAGCGGTTTGTAGTTCTCGTTGAAGCATTCAGGGCCACAGCACGTGGTCTTTTGCCTGTTCTTGTGCGCACCGATTCTTCCCATTCCATACGACTCCGCTTCTTCGCTTCAGACTAGATGGCAACAAAAAAACGGGCGTAAGCGAATAAAAGGATGGCCATATTATCTTCACGGAAACTAATCGCAAGCTGGCTGAAAACTTTTCGACAACCCATGGCCGTTTTCACCGTTTTTGAGACTCACCAGATAGGTGTAGTCCTCGATCGATCTTGTTCTGTTTGAGAAAAATGTCACGAAATCCGTGAAATACAATTTGGTTTGTGAAGCACATTCGGTTGAATATCATAAACGGGCGATTCATCTAGGATTCAACTGGGTTTCCGTTAAAACCAAATTGGTGTGCTAATGCGTGCTTCACGAAGGAACGTTAGTAATGTAATACAACAGTCCCGGCAATTCCGTTCTGCCCCAGGCACCGAGTTAGTGCATCAACACATTCAGTGTGAAATCATTATTTCTCTTTTGGAATATTCGAAACTTCGCTAATCAACTCACATCCAAGGTTTTAAATCCACCGAAAATGTGCGGTACGCCACAACAAAGTAAACCCGTGCTACTAACCATGTGTCCTATGTTCTTGGGAGTCCATGGAAAACCATGGAATCCGAATGCCGAAATTCTGATATCCACACAATACATAATCCGTGCTCACACCCTCGTTATCATCATCATCGACAGCATGACATCAGTGTTCAACACCGATGCTTCATTGTCGTAATTCGCACCCTATGAATTCTCTGTGCGGAAGAAACATTGTCTGTTCTCGGGGAATTCACGTTCTCCAGGCACGTGCGTGACCATGAAGGTCGTTCGCTTGTGATGCCAATAATAAGGTAGAATCTTTCACAAGGACCTCTGATAACCGATGAAAAGTTGTACTGAAAGCGTGCACACTGTGAAAACTGTGGTAATCGGGCGATTTCCCGAGAATATAAATGGATACGTACGAATGTACTTAAAACTAGGTCTGAACCCGTTTTTCGCCCAAAATAAGACTAATCGTTCACAAGTGCTACCCTTCCTGTGCCGCATGATTGAGGCGCAAGGACTGAACTAATGTCAGATTACTCAGGCCTGGATAGTGGCAGCCGAAAATCCAATCGGGTTCAAATGACGGATATTCCGGTCAGTAGTTTTGCTCCCTAGTCGCTGAGCTATCTCGAGCCTTGGATTTATTCAAAGAATCCCGTGACTACTGAAGAATGGTCAGTAAGCTTAACCTGAAAAGTCGTTGATCCCCGTGCAGATGGTAACTATTGAAATCTTATGTTTGTTGCAAAAGTAATGTGAACGCCTTCGTGCGTATGGAGGCATATCACGTAGTTAGAGGGATCGGACGGAAACAGCTTGAAACCCTCAACCAACGGTCACACAGCCGTCTATCCGATGAGTCTGGACATGACAGAACCGACCACAGTTGTGTTTAGACTCAACCAGTGCACAACCAGTACGCGGTTCTTACAGCTGACAATGATGACGATGATGAGACTCAATGCCTAATATTACGGAAAGAGAAGTATAGTTACTCATGTTGGATCAAATTTGTATGACTTGGTGCTTCTGAAGACTCAAGTGAGACTTAAATGAAATTCTACATATCGATGAAGGACGGTCGCTGTAGGAATATTTGCTTATTTCAAGTGCTCAGTCCCTTTTTAGCCTGAGATATATAAGAAGAACTGAGATACTGAACAAAAACAACAGGGCTTTGTAAGGATCACAAGCGGTACCGGACGCAACACATTTACGCAGCGTTTACAATGACTGTTTCGTGGCTCACACCGCTGCACAACAATCACGGTTCACTGATCTACTGATTACAGCTTCGCAGCATTTTTCAAGCCAATCCCCGTTTCATTATCTAACACTAAACATCCCAGCTGTCGAACCAGCATTGCGAAAAGCTATCGTAAGCCGTGTACAATACCGGTACACCAGAGACTGTGCGTAGTTAAACTGTACGGCGGGACGACTATGAGAAAAAAGAAGCCAGTTTGGTGCAGATAGGAACTGAGGTGCGTAGAAATATGGGCAAGGTGGGGAGTGCTGAATAAAGTCGACAACGACGTTTGTCCATTGCTTATGGACATCGGGGAAACCTATCAATCACCGCCAGTGTGTTGATTTTTTTGTTTTATTCTTTCGCCCCGAATATGAAAACTAAGAGGGCACGAAACCTTAAGTATTCACTGAGGAGTGGCTTCGCTGAAGATGACCACATTCTCCTAAGTTATAGTAATAATGTGGATTATTATTACTGCACTGCTCACCATACCGAGGAATGAAACAACCATGAAAGGTCATGCAGGAAAACGAGTGAATTTTTTCAGCTTTTCAGTATCATGTTCAACAAGTAAAACGACTTCGTCCCGCTGTTGTGGAACGTCGCCTTCAAAAAACGGCACGTGATGGAATAAATCCCTCCCAAATCGTAACAAGTCAATTAGCAACTTATGCCTTAACCTCTTGGGTGCGCATTTGAAAAAGTAAAACGACTTCGTCCCGCTGTTGTGGAACGTCGCCTTCAAAAAACGGCACGTGATGGAATAAATCCCTCCCAAATCGTAACAAGTCAATTAGCAACTTATGCCTTAACCTCTTGGGTGCAGCATTTGAAACTCTGATAAGAAAGAATAGTATTGTGTCGATAAATGGTTGAAGCACGTCAATCCATGAGGCAAAGAAACTCACAGCATCATTCATTACAACTTCGTGGCCGTTGATAAAATCGAAATAACTCATTTTATCGTAAGACGGTGGAAGGGCTGCAATCTGCGCGGAACGGGCGCGTAAACTTTCGATTTTTATGTCCTTCTCCTTCCACTTCTGTTTCAGTTGAAACAATATCAATTGACACGTTTCATCGAAAAGCTCCAGAAACCGCTTTTTTGTCCAACCCTTTTTCGGGAGGAGACTGGCGAAGTCCAGGGCCTCGAGGTCTCGGAACATTGACGAGAAAAGGGAACTGCGAAAAAAGACGCAACAGTTACTTACGGTGGATCTTCGTCTGAGAGAACTTTTCGATGAAGGATAACGAGTAACTCAACCCAAAATTTCAATGCCAAATAAGAAAGCCAGAAAGTCAATTTAACTTCAACCCTAAACTAATTTGCAAATAAGTAAATCTCACCAATCAGATGTACCAACGGTATGTTAGTTTCAATTACATCAGATTCATTTACGGGTAACGGCGTTAATGAATAAAGGACAGAAATACAACAGAAATAAGGGTGCAGCCACTTCGACAATGCTTAATTAGCGCAGTTTTCTGAGCGAGCCACAGACAACCCTTTGGTTATTTATCCTGACCTAAGGCTGTCACATTGACGTGGTTGTTGAGTCTGAGTGCTGCGGTGATTCCGCGGGCTACAGTGGCTGGAATTTCGTTCCACAACGTGCAATCATGTCACGAAAGTCAAAGGGGAGCTATCAGACCAAGAAGAGCGAAATCATGTACTACGAGGCGGTCTGGGAGTGTGAAGGCAGTCAGGTGTTTTCCCCAGGCGACCAGCATGTCCATATTCATGGAAGCAGCGATGCTGCCCTTCCCCAAGGAAGGATGAGTGTGAAAAGGTCGACCCTAAAAACCGCGCACTCCGATCACCCAATGGTTGACCGTGACCGACAGTTATCCCTATCTTCGAAAAGGGTACACGGACGCTATGCGAAAACCACCGTGGCATCATCCTGTTAGCTGTGGCATCGAAGGTGCTCCCTTGTCTTATCCTTCGAAGGTTAACTGAACACAGATGGAGGCAGATCCGTGAAAGCCAAGCTGGTTGCGTCCTGCAAGAGGTTGCATCGACCATATCTTCACCCTCCGACAGATTCTGGAACAGCGACACTGCTTCCAGCAACCAACAATGGTTGTTTTTCTTGATCTGAAAGCTGCCTTTGACTCTGTGGACCGNTGCAAAGTGTAAAGTGCTACTGCAAGACTGGGTGGGCTCGAACCCTAGCCTCATGCTTGCGGATGAACCGACTGAGGTAGCAGACAAATTTGTTTACCTGGGCAGCTGTATCAGTCCCGGTGGTCTGGCGAGAGATGATGTTTCCATCTGGATTGGGAAGGCCAGGGCAGCTTTTGCGAACCTACGTCACCTGTGGCGTATGTGCCACATCAGCTTCTCTGTAATAATAATAATAATCGTTCAGCTGTAGCACCCTTTCGGCGCCTAACTGCCATGCCACCCGAAGGAAGCACGAGGGCTGGGATACTGCCAGGTTGCCCAAGCCTAGACAGGGAAAGTCGAGAGGCAGAGGTTGGGTTCGAATCACGGACCTTCCGGTCAGTAAATTCGCGTTCTAACCACTTGGGCCAAGGCTCGAGTTCACAATGCTGCGGTGCGCTCCATATTACTATATGGATCAGAAACCTGGCGGCTGCGCGCTAAGAATGTCAGAAGACTTTCAGTGTTTTACCATCGATATCTTCGGAGCATTGCCCGAATCTGGTGGGAACACCGGATCAGCAACGCTGAAGTACGTCGAACGGTATTCGGGAAAAATAACTCACTCTCGATAGATGAACTGATCACACTGCACAGGTTGCGCTGGCTTGGCCACGTGCTGCGTATGCCAGTCGACCGACTTCCTCGAAGGGCTCTTTTCGCCCAACCATGTGAAGGTTGGAAGAAAGCCAGAGGCGGTCAAACGATGGCTTGGCAGCGAAGTATGAAAGCCATTGCCGGCAAACTCAGCTGCGCTGGTCACTGCCGTCTTCCTGGATGGATGGGGACCACGAGACGGGCCACATCAATGGCTAGAGACATTGTCAGACATGGCCCGGTCGCGCCCTCAATGGCGCTCGTGCATCCAAGCTGTTACCTTTAATGCATAGCTCCTTTTCCAACTCCCAACTTGACAGCTCACTGACAGTGCTGGATTTGTGCACCAATTTATCATCTCCCGCCCGCAGTGCGTAGCTACCTACACCCCTTCCCCAAAATCACCAGTGAACGAAACTGCTGCAGCTACAACCACTGTGCGACGAGTACGCGGTTACTACAGCTGACAATGATGATGATGATGACCGTGACCGCCGGTGCATTATTCAATACGATCAAAATATATTTAAAACGAAAGAGCCCGGTGCTGTTCAAAAGGCATTCGCTGTGTGCAGCCGCATCAGGGGTGTGACAGTAGTGCTTTACTCATTTTTTCGCCAGTTTGGGCCAAGCCCCTACAACCGAGCAGGTTAAACTATTGAGTCATCAACTCCAGACAGGGTCCCCGAAGAAAACTCTTTGTCCGGTGCCTCGCTGCTCCAACTTTTGAGTCAGAGGCTACGGGCAGGGTCCCCGAACAAAACCCCACATCCTCCCACTGCCTTGTGGGTTAGAATTTTGAGTCAAAGGCTAAGGGTGGGGTACCTCAACCAAAACCCCTTTCTCTTTGCCAGGGAAACCGGCGCAGTTCTTTGTCCGATGGCCCTTTGTAACTCATCCCCACAACACAAGCAAACGGTGATGAGTCATTTGGATGTCAGTTATATGATCGATGAGCTTTATGAACCCCACTGCTTATTAATTATAAGCAAAATAACACCATGTTAAATCCACGAGATCCTTTCTACATAAGAGCCCTTAACGTCCGTACTCATGCTGGCAGACAAGCAATCCTGGCTGATACCTAATATTTCCTTAAAATCGATGTACATTGTGTCTCCGTAACACGTATACAAGACCAAAGCGTGGTTGTGCATCTCAGAACGCCAAGAATGAGCTCGGCCATTTGACATTTCTCCCTCCGTGTCCGGTGATCCAGTAGCGATAACTCGTGGAATAAATGGCCTGGGGGTTGCACACATCCCCAGAGCTGAACGCGCTTTGCCGGATTGGGTCCATGTGTCCGGAGGCCAGCCGTCGTTGGTGATGACCAGATCCAGGTGGGAATGACCTGTGTGCTATCTGGCGGGTGCGAGGGCGTTTCGAGCCCAAGCGCTCTGTTGAACGACTTTGGTTAGCGCCCCTGCGATATGTACACTAGATCCCACGGGCTAGAGCTTCATCCAGGAGATCCCGTGGTGTTAAAATCCCCTACCAACAGATGTGTGAAATGGTATCTGGGTGAGTGTTGCTTGAGAATTCGTATGAGGTATTGGTCATCTCCTGGGAAGGGGGCGAGATGGCTCAAGTGGTTAGAGCGCAAATTTGCTGACGGAAGGTCCGTGGTTCGAATCCGACCTCTGCCTCTCGACTTCCCCTGTCTAGGCTTGGGCAACTTGGCAGTATCCCGGCCCTCGTGCTTCCTTCGGGTTGCATGGCAGCTAGGCACCGGAATGGTGCTACAGCTGAACGCTCATCTCCAGGGAGACTTGAGGGGTAATGGTAGAGCACGCCGGGAAGAGAACCGGTCCCGCACAGCGGGGTTTGGATCCATAGTGCATCGCAAACAGGCGAAGGAGTGGCATCGGAGAGGACAGTCGGGTTATGCGTGGCCGCATGTAAATATAGAACAACCCAACCAGCCCTTCCGGGTTTCGAGTCAGCTCAAAAAACAGAGCAGTCGTCTGTCGAGATCTCCACCCCATAGACATCTGGTGTGAGCCAGGTTTTTGTGATTATGGACGGCTGTTCATGGCAAGCTGACTGTTCAATGTCGTGGAGTTTGTTGAAGAAGCTGAGGTAGTTTGTGGACAAGCGTCTCTGCTTCCTCCGAGGTTGGGGAGCCGAGAAATGTGCTGCTAGAGGGGTTAGCAGATTTAATAGCTGTACGCCGGGTTTGGGTCCAAGGCACCGAAGGGGCCTCTGCGGAATGCTTGTCTGCTTCCAATCTCGGTGGCTTCAAGGGCTGCATTTTATTTTCAGGATTTTTCTCGCCCCGTGAGAACTTTTCCTCCTCGTGAGCAAAAATTCCAACCGCTGCTACTGGCAGTCCATTCACTATCGCCTTTTGGACGACTAGGTTTGTTGTTGTTCAAGGATTTAGGGCAAACATGCGTGTTTGGTTTCTTGGGCATTTTGGCGCAGTTTGATCGATGAGGTGTCTCACTGAGTCCCTGCGCGTCGGTGGCAGCATCCAAATTTGGCTGCGCTTCCATTAGGCTCGTTTTCGTAGAGGACTGAACCTTGAAGCAGGCCAACAGCTTTTCGATTTTGGCAAAGTTTGTTTTTTTTCTCGACCGCAATCGCTTTTCTTCAGTGTTTGTGTGGACTCCCAAGTCACCCGCAATCAACGTGGTAAACTGGGTGTACGAAGGACTTTCCGGCTCGTTGCTGTCGGGTCTGTGGCTTTGGCTGCCGGCGTCATGGGCGACAACTGTGTCCAGTCTGTCCGGGTTTCGTGCAGACATGAAAAAGTACATGTGCAGAGAGCGACGCGTCCCCATGGTCACCACCAGACCCACATGTTCCGGATAGCAGGTGCGTTGACGGAGCTTAAAAAACACGGCTTAGCGGCATGTGGCCAGCGGATTGGATGTGAAGTTGTCCACGGCAGGAAAGTCGCCATCGGCTGTGCAGAACGAACAAGCGAATGACCATATGAGGTGCTTTATGCAGAAACTGTGTATGCTTGTCCTGACAATACACCAATGTTCCGGGTTCGCTGATTTATCCTTATCACGTAGTCTGACAGGCTTTGTTCAGGCGTAGCCAATAGACGGCCACCCACGATACAACATAGCAATCGGAGAGGCCACGCTTGCCGGATTGGAGCTGAAGATTGGCAGCTGCACATTCTCAGTGGCTGGAGGGTACTCGCAATACTCTCTGATGTCGGGGCAGGCTAAGCCGCGTGTCTCTTCACATCTGACCCAATCAAGCTCAGAGGCTGTCTTGGATGTGGAGATTACTGCTGCGCCTTTATCTACGGAAAAATCTATGATAGCTCTGCGTAGTTTGGACGATGCGTCCAAGCCAGGTTTGCCTCCTCCATAGCATCGCTGCCTTTGGTAGTCGAGGGTCCGCGGAGGTTGAGCAGAAGCTTCAATCCGGACTCACGGCCGGTTGCGTTGGTGGGCTTTCAAGAGCACAAGAGACCATTACTGCAATCGGTTCGACCATAATTTTTGGGTCAGCTAAACTCAAGCCAAGCGGAAGTCTGGTTCGCGCCTCTCCTTTGTGGCCTAGATTTCGCGCCCCACCAGTTATAATTAAAGGAGTTGTATACAATCCTTTTTGTCTACTTTAACAACTTTAACGGTGGTGTTGGAGTCAAAACATGAAGACATTCTTCCATACCATCCGGCGGAGATCGAGAGCCCCCAATGAAAGAAGAAAAGAAAGAAATCGTTCAGCTGCAACACCCTTCCGGTGCCTCAGTGCCATGCCACTCGAAGGTACCTCGTGCAACGTTGTACGACGGCTTTGATACTGCCAATTTGCCCAAGTTTAGATAGGGGAAGTAGAGAGATAGATGTCGGGTTCGAACCACGAGCCTTCCAGTCAGTAAATTTGCGCTCTAACCACTTGGGCCATCTCGTCCTCCCCCCAACCCCCCCCCAAAAAAAAACATACGGTTATGCCCCCGCATTCCACTGACGTCATCCTTCGAGGCCACGTTTACCGGCAATCGGAGGATAAAATGATAAACCCATGTTCTTGTGCTTCTCTGTGTGTAGTTGGCAACTTGCCGATACATTCATCTAACATACCGCATTCTCCTCTTTCAGCCCCACTTGTTTGCTAGCCTCAAAACATCCACACAGTGAGTTTGGATAATTTTCATACATGCAGGCATACTACACTCTTCTAGCACAGAGGGAAGAAGACCGGGCCCCTGGAGGTTAG